GCATATTATGGATCACATCACATGGCAACTACGCTGTGTGTGGAAAAAGTGTGCGCTTGTTTTTTGAAAATAAATCTTCTTACAATTGTAAGTAGTAAGACTTGTCTTTTTTCATAATAAATGCCCAAAAAAAATTGTTACTCAATCATCATTACAGAAAGTGCATTGAAATTAACTGCAAATAAAAATCTGAAGGATTGAAATAGAAATTGAATAATTTCCGATATTAGGATTCTTAACAATAAACTTGCCACGAAAGTGTACCATACATATACGTAGCGTTTTTAAAACATGCTTAAAGGTATTATTTTGATTAACGTTTTTTTTTAAGCCTTTAAAGGTGCTTTTTTTTTTTTAAATTAAAAAATGTATGCTTTTTTGTAATTTTCTCTGCAATATTTATCAGAAACTAGTTATTCTATCGTGATTATGTCATAGCTGCCAACTGTACAGATTTTATCGGAACTGTTCCGATTTTTATGCCTTGTTCCGATAATACGATTTTGGGTCAAAATGTTCCGATTTTTCATCATAGCATAATTTTTTCTTTTACTCTCTAAAGCGATCCATGTCCGATTGGCGAAATCCAATCACGTCGCATTATCACTTAGCTCCGCCTCTAGCTCCATTCGTATATTTGATGACGTATATACGGGTCGCTTCACAGACACCAAGAGGAAATTTTAGCTTCCTGACTCCTTGTCTTTTACTTGCAACCGTACCATTATTGAATGTTTACTCGGAATGCATCTCTTCGATTTGAGTTAAGCTTTGACTGTTTTTCCACGTGGTAATCTGAAAAAATGTCACAAATTCGGCGAAGTCAGTGTTTTCGCGACAATTATAGTGAAGAATTTTATTTCATCAAAAAATCAAGAAAGGGGACATCGTACGCATTATGTATTGCTTGCAATACAGGCATTAGTATAGCACATGGTGGAAAGTATGATATAATTTCACACGGGAAAACAATCAAGCATGCTACCGCTTATACAAATATGAAAAAGTTGGCAAAAATTTCCGATTTTGTGTCGTCGACTATTGATCTACAATAAATTAGAACCGAACTATTGTTCACAGGATTTCTCCTTGAACACAATATGCCGTTAGCTGCTCGGACCATGCATCAAAGTTGTTTTGGGCGATGTTTCCAATTTCTCCGGAGGTAAAAAAATACTCGTGTGGGAGAACGAAAACTAGTTGTTTGGTTCAAGAAATCGCAAATAACACTTCTGAGCAAATTATAAAGAAGCTGAAGACTAATGTGTTTAACATAGCGACAGATGGAAGCAATGACTCGTCGGACAATCAAATGTATCCAATTGTGGTCACATTTTTCGATGACGTGTTGGAGTTATTGAGCTGCACTCTTATATCTTTGCCAGTTTTAAATGATTCGAGTACAGGTCATAATATTGCCAATCTAATTTGTGCCTTTTTTTCTGAACACAGCATACCATGGGAAAATTTTTTTATCGTTTTCTTGTGATAATGCAAAGAATATGATGGGGAAAAACAAAGGAGTTGGTGCATATCTCAAGGAAAATCCTTCTAATCTGTTAGTTTTTGGCTGCCTTTGTCATTTGATCAACCTGGCGGCTGAAAAAGGAGCAAAGATTTTGCCCATTTCATTTGATGACCTACTTATAGATATTTATTATTATTTTCATAGAAGTGGGAAACGAAAATTAGAATTTAAAAAATTTAAAATGTTTGACAAAGAAGGTGGTAAAAAAATTCTAAAACATTGTGCGACAAGATGGTTATCCCTTGGTAAATGTATCACTCGCTTACTTGAACAATGGAGAAGTCTTCTCTTGTATTTCAAAGAAGTGTGTTCTGAGAGCAAAGTAACTACAGATTTCTCACCAAAAATCTCGGCGTATGTAGTACCAAAATTACAGAAGCAACAAACAAATGAAGATGTCCAAACAGAAGGTGAGGGGTCTAAAATAAAAAATACTAAGCGCAAGGTTTCCGATACTGCCCCAGTCTGTTCAAAAAAGATGAAATCTAAACAGAAAATGAAGTCAAATGATGGGTTTAAGCAAGGTTTTAAAACAAATTTCTCAAGAGAACTTAAAGAAATTTTTAGGTAGAGATGAAAGAATTTTTCTCGTCCTTAGTTCTAATTTGCATCATTCTTTAGGTTTCTTTCTAAAAAATGTCATTATCGTTTTCTCTAACAAAGAGAGAACCGAGTTTTTTTCTCATGTGAGAAAATACTTCTGTGCATCTTGTGATTATATAATTGCTGATTTCCCTCATAATTCGCCATTATTAGTACATGCTGGAGTTGCTGATATGTCTAAAATAACTGAGAAGACATTTTTATCTGTGAAATATTTTATTGACTTATATCCCTCTATGCTACTTAAAGAAAATCATGAATCGTATTTTGATGCAGTTGATACTCTCGAGTCAGAATTTTTGTCTTATCAGCTTGAAAAATTTCCTGAATCTATTATAAATAATGAAAGAGCTGATAAGCAGTGGGCAAAACTCTCTAAAGAGAAAGGTCTTCTAGGAAAACCAAAATATGCGAGATTATCATGGGTAATGTTAGGAATTTTAACATTTCCTCACAGTAATGCAGCCTGTGAAAGACTTTTTAGTCTAGTGCGAAAAAATAAGACTGAGTTTAGGGGTTGCATGAATGTGTCTACTTTGCAGGCAATTTTAATTGCCAAGTCCTAAATGATTCAGCCTTGTTATAGACAAGTGTTTGATGAAAAGTTTTTAAAATCAGCCAAATCTGCTACCACTGTAGCACTTAACAAGAATAATTGATTATTTTTTTATATGTGTTTATTGTCACATATGTTTGAGTAATAATAAAATATTTTGTTTTTAAATATGTTTTAAATTACTAAAATCAGCTATCATTTCTGTTTAATTAGTTTGTTGAATAAGAATAATAATCAGAAATCTTGTCAGTTGATATGTATTATAATCAATAATAATTGTTACATTAAATCTTATACAGTTACAATTATACAAACATTTAGTGTAAAGAAGTAAACTTTAATGTCGCGAC